TTTTTTTTCATACAGAATTTAATTACTATTTTTTGGAATGAGCCGCATACTACCCGTAAAAGAAAACCAAACGAGTATTAACCGAGAAATTTGAAAGGGAAAAAAAAAAAAAATTGAACTCTACACCCCTCCCCAGTCTTAATGGGGAGGCCTCCTGCTTTACTTCGGTGTTCGGGATGGGAACCGGTGCTATCAGGTACCTGGGGTTAATCCCGTCAGCGACCCAAGCGTTCGCCGGGGGACCCAGTAGGACCCCAAAGCTCAGGCAGTAGGGTGAGAGCACCCAGTACGAAGCTCTTTGAGGGGCGGGACGTAGAGTGAGACGACAGAGAGACAGAGAGAGACTCAGACAGAGAAGAGGTTTGGGGGAGCTTCTTGTTTTCGTAGGGTTGGTTGTGTACCCCATGGTACCCCCACTGTCCGGCGCTCCCGTACCGAACATACAGCGTTTTAGGCCAGCTTCAAAAAACTTATCATCGCCTCCCCGACGAATCAAGGAGGCCCCCACCCCCAAAAAAAAACACCGGATGGTCTGTATTGATGGATCAAATACTCCATCGCTCCAGTGCCGAGGCCAACCCGCCGAAGCGGATTGCTTTTTAGACACCCACAGCGTAGAGGCCAGGTGAATGTGACTCTGACCACTACGCTATCACGCTTGTACGTCTGGCAGCGTGTTGGACGACGGGTTTGAGTTGCACTGGGAGGAAGGCGGTCGAAAAATGTAATGAAATGATGGGATTCGATCCCCGGACCCCGCCATCGGGATCAGACGACTTTACGCTCTCGGCCACCACGGCCCATGATGAGGGAACGGCGTGAGGTGGGTTCTTGACGCAACAGGACTCGACCGACCCGGTCAAAATTTCGCAAGAAGTTGGGGGAGTCGAACCGCCGACCCTAGCACTCAGAACCGACGCCTCTACTCCCTGGACCACCACGTCCCATGCTCGGAGTGGGCTCACGTTTACGTGTTTCAACCGCACTGGGTGAGGCAGTAAAATTAAATGGAAATATTTGTTAGGTAGGAGTCGAACCTCCGGCATGTCGGCCTGTTGCACACGGCTCCGCTCTGATGGCCTCGAACCACCGCCCTTAGGATAGCAGATCGAAAAAACTTTTGTGACGCTGGTATTCGAACGCCAGCCTGCGGTAACTCGATCCCACGTCTCTAACCTCTCGGCTATCGCAGCAGTTGTGAAACGCGACGGATCATCTGCTTTCATTGACGTTCGTTGAATGAGATTTTTTGTCCGACCTGCCCAAATACGTCCGACCTCCTTCGCGCTGTTATATTTCTGTACGACCTCTCTTCGTCTGACTTTACTTGGTAAACATGATCCTTTACACTACTCGCGGGTCAGTAAAATTTCGGCCGCTGAAGTGGTTTCTTTCTCGGTCCAGGTTGCCACCACATCCCGCTGCCGACTCTCCCTCGCCTCTCTGTCCACTTAGGGCACGCGGCATAGCGGCCCCCCTCGCCAGCGAAGCAGCAGCGAAGCTCCACGCCCAGTTTGCGTCATCATTATTACCTCCCGAGGACGAACCGATCCAGCACGGAGCACGGCCAGCTATTAAAACTTAAAAGGGAGCGCCCGGCCGTCCAAAATGATGCCTCTGCGCTGATTCGACCGAAGCCAAGCCGAGCCAGTCAAAAGGGGGAGGGGAGAGAAAGGGGGAGAGAGGAAGGGGAGAGGGGGAGAGGGGGAGAGAGAGGGGAGAGAGGGGAGAGAGGGGGAGAGGGGGGGAGGGGAGAGAGAGAGGAGGGGGAGAGAGAGAGAGAGAGAGAGAGAGGGAGAGGAGGAGGAGAGAGGGGGAGAGAGAGAGAGAGAGAGAGGGGGAGAGGGAAGAGGGGGAGGAAGGAGGGGAGAGAGAGGGGGCGAGGGGAGAGGGAGAGAGGAGGGGGGGAGGGGGAAGAAGAGAGGAGGGGGAAGAGAGGGAGGGAGAGGAGAGGGAGAGAGAGGAGGGGGGAAAAGAGAGAGGAGAGGGGAGGGGAGGAGGGGGGGAGAAGAGAGAAGGGGAGGGAGGAAGGAGAGAGAGGGGGGGGGAAGGAGAAGAAAGGGGGGAGGGGGAGAGAGGGGAGAGGGAGGAGGGGCAGAGGAGAGAGGAGAGGAGAGAGAGGGGGGCGGAGAGGGGAAAGGAGAAAAGGGGAGAGGGAGAGAGGGGGGAGAGGGGGAGGAGGAGAGGAGGGGAACCGGGGGAGGAGAGAGAGAGAGGAGAGGGGAAGAGAGAGGAGGGGAAGGGCCCCGTTTGGCCTCGAGGTGCTCCGCGCGTGCGGCGGCGCCGGAAACCCCGATGAGGATGGAGGACGCCTCGGGGCGGCTGATATTCCCAGTCGAGGACGTCGACGTGGCGCTGGCGGCGGTCCGACGGCAGTCCGACGGCAGTCCGACGGCAGTCAGTGACCCGGGCCGTGCGGGGGCGGCCAGGCGGGGCGGCCAGACGGGGCGCACGATGGGCGGGGCTGCGCGGCCACGGCCTCGGCCACGGCAAGGAGGAGGCGGCGGTGACATTTGATTTCGGTCGACCGCGCCCGCCGCTTTCGAAAAGGCGCTGCGGTTCACTTCGTTACGCCCTTCGCCCCCTCGCCTCCTTCCTGGACGCACCCGGAGGGGAGGACCCAGGGCAAGGACCCCCGAGCCCCGGGAGTTTGTTTTCGTCGCTCTGTCTCTCTCGCACCTGTTCGGGGCGCCTCATCAGTGCGAGGCCAACGACACTCGGAGCTGCATACCGCAGTAGGCGGAGGGTCGCAAAACCGTGGCGCCACCGCCGCGCCGCCACCTGCGTCGTCCTCACGGTATCCTGGACGTCCCGGTTTGTCTTCATTTTTTGCCTCCCCGCCGTCCCACGCCGCCCCTCCCTTGCGGCCGTCCCTCTGCAGCGCTCTGCAGCGCTTCTTCCTCCGAAACACTTGGGATCTCGGCGAGGCCCAAGGCGAGGCCGGTCCCAAGGGGCCGAGGCCGGAGCACCGCAAAGCGCCGCAAAGCAGAGCGGCAGCGCGGCGGAGCGAGGGGCAGTCGGCGGTCGGCGGACGGTGGGCCACTGACGGGTCACTTGCCCTCCTTGAGCTCATTTCGTATGGGCGGACGCGCTCCACGGCACTGCACATTGACATTCGTGACTTAAAAAAAAAAGCTTTTTATCAGGAGTGACCTTTTATAATGTCTGGCAACAGCGTTTCATGTCGGAGGCAAAAAAAAATTTGAGGGTGGGGGGAATCGAACCCGCGTCCTCACAGTTCGCAGAGCTGCGCGGTGCCAACCACGCTGGCGAGTCCCGCGTCTCATTCGGGGAATGTTCGGGGGCTAACTAACGACCAACGACGAACCACGGGTTGGGATGGCGGTCGTGGCCGTGGCGCGGCCGGCCCTGGGAGTGCCTGGAAGGCGCCATGGTGGCCGAGCGGGTCGAGCCTCGCGGTGAGCCGGGCCAGGCCGGGCGGGGCGGACAGGGCTGGCAACAAAAGGAGACGAGGATCGCTGTCACGACGCGGTCGGGGGCGAGCCGGACAGGCGGGGCTGGCAGCCAGGCTGGCTGCCAGGCTGCTGGTAATGTGCAGCGGTCTCATCAGTCCGGGCCGTGTAACTCGATGAATTGGGTTCAAAGCGAGCGGAAACACAATAAGCAGTGCCACGCCCGGCCACGCCGCCTTGAGAGAGAAAGAGAGGCGGGGAAGGGGGCTGCGGTTTGGAAGGAGCGGAGACTTCGGGGAGACAGGATTATTAAGGCCCGTCCGATGCCGGCACGATCTTCCTCGATCTCCTCGGGTCGCGTCCTTTCCTCCTGTCAGTGTTTGTCCTTATAACGGAGAGAGCCTCCGCCCACTCCGAGGATGGTGTGTACAGAACGCCGCTGGGGGGCGGGACACATGCGACGTCGGCGTGGTCGCGTGGGTTGAGCCGTCGAATCTCGATTGCAAGAACGTGGGTTCAATTCCCCACTTTCGATGTATTGTTTTTTTTTTCGGGGCCGCTTTCATCACGGTGCGTTGCCCTTAATCTCCAGTGAGCCGTGGCGGTGGAAGTCGATTTTTTTTCTCCAGCCGCCGCAGCGCTCTAACTATCTATTTCTGGTTTTGCCCCTTTCACCTTGACGCTGCTGCGTGGCTCCGCTTGCCCGCTTGCCCCGCGAGGTTCGCGAGGTCGGCCTGCCGAGGCCGGGAGATCGGGAGACCGTGGGGCGTTCCAGACGAGTCCAGGGGGCCAGGCGCCTCCATTTACTCGAATAATGTATCATACCGTCCCCGTGGTCCGGCATGGTGGCCTGGCCGCTGCTCGCTGGCCGCCGGTTCCACTTCGCTCCGAATTGCGGCGATCCATCAGGGCGGCGGGGCGGGGCGGGGCGGGCCGTGTGAGCTATCGGACCGCCTGGAAAATGTGGGCAAGTGCCCCGAAATAATTAAAATTAAAAACAGTGGTGTGTGTGTTGCGGCGCGGTGTTGACCCTTTTTTGCAAGTCTGAACGGACTGCGCATCGACGAGGCCTCCACAAGGCAGCCACAAAGGCAGCCGAAGCACAGTGGGCCAGAAGCCGGTGGAGGCAGCCAAAACTGTAGACGCGTTTTGAGCTCCAGAGTCGCTAAACAGGACTCGAACCGAACGTGTGACCCCACCAATGGGTTCCTCGTTTGGAGAGCTATCCATTGGTAGGGTCACACGTTCGGTTCGAGTCCCATTTAGCGACTCTGGAGCTCAAAACGCGTCTAGAGTTTTGTCCGCCTCCACCGGCTTCTGGCCCACTGTGCGAAGGCAGCTGGCCGATTCCGCGCATCGCTCTGTCTCTCTCGCACGCCCGCGGGGCGCCCTTCTGAGCGAGAGAGACAGAGCGACGAAAGCACTGCTCGGCAGCCAATGCCGAACGTCCGCCAAAGGCATCGAGTGGCTATGCAGATCGAGCCTGGACAAACAGCGGGCGCGGCGTTTTGATGCGGAGCGAACAAAAGTTGGACAGTGGGGTAGTGTGCTGGGCCGCGGACCGCCCACCACACCCAGCCTGCCGGACGAGGCTGGGACGGCCGTGCCGCCGCACCGCACGCCACAATGCGGGAACAACACCGCCAGGTAAACATGTTTTTCTTTAACTCGGGCGCGGAAGATATAGGCTTCGGCTCTCTTGAGTCAAAGTGAAGACTGCTTAGTTCGCGCTCGTGGCAGCCGAGGTCCTTCCCGCGGGGTCCTCGCTGGGGTCTCGAAAGTGGCAGAGAGAGAGAGGAGAGGGGAGAGGGGCGGGAGGGAAGGGGGAGGGCCGAAGAGCATTAGTGCGTGTGTGTGCGTGTGTGCGTGCGTGTCGGAATGGGTAAGGCGAGAGCAGCCAGAGAGAGATTCGTGTTTGACTGCCGCTTTTTGCTGCCGGTTGTAATGAGCGCTCCGTGCTGCCGCCGCTACCGCCGCTGCTGCTAGAGGCTCAGGGCCAGGGGGGTGGATGCGACATGCCGGGCGCGCCGGGCCATGTTTTGATACAGTGGATGATCCGGAAGGATCGGTGTTCGCGGTCGTGCTCCGCGGGGACGGGCCGAGGCCGTGGAGGACGTGGAGGTGGCTGGGAGCGCGTCGCCCCGCCCTGGAAGGCTAGAAGCTCGGCTGGAAGGGAACTTTACTACGCCAATTAGTGGAGAAAGTTGCCTTTCCCGACTTGATTCATCGACTTGGCGGCCACGACGCCGCCGGCGGGCCGCCCCGGCTGGCCGTGCTGGCCGTGCTGGCGGTGGAGGGTTGGCCACGTTGTCCGCGCCGGTGCCCTTGATCGGCGTGCCTGCAGACTGATTCCGAGAATCGCTCTGTCTCTCTCGCACTCATGAGGCGTCCCGTCTAGATGCGAGAAAGACAGAGCGACGAAAACGAAACAGTCGGCTGGGGCTCGGCGACGGCGTCCCACAGTGGGCCAGAAGCCGGTGGAGGCGGCCAAAACTCTAGACGCGTTTTGAGCTCCAGAGTCGCGAAACAGGACTCGAACCGAACGTGTGACCCCACCAATGGGTTCCTCGTTTGGAGAGCTATCCATTGGTGGGGTCACACGTTCGGTTCGAGTCCCATTTAGCGACTCTGGAGCGCAAAACGCGTCTAGAGTTTTGGCCGCCTCCACCGGCTTCTGGCCCACTGTGCGGCGTCCGGGAGTCGGAGCGCCCGCCGACGGCGGGGTAGGCCGCACGCCGCGCACGCCCGCTCGCTGGCGTGCCTGCCGCGCCGGCGTCTGCAGCGTCTGCACCTCGCTGTGTTCACAGCACCTCGGCTCCATTCACGCCCTCGCCAGTTACGGCGTGGCGCGGCGCGGCGCGGCGCGGCACGGCAACAACAGGGGAAACTTACTGTAATGAGATCCGCTGCTTCTGTAACGAGATTGCCCCGCGCCGCCACGGCCATAGAGACCTCCGCGCCCTCGGCGCCCTCCCCCTCCTCCCAGTGCACCCTCACTGCGCGCTGCGCGCCTTGCTTTTGCTTGCACAGTCTTTTGTTCCGTATGGCCGGCGTTAACGTATTGCGCCCCTCGTGTGCATGTGTGTGTGTGTTTGGGGACCATGAATGTGAGATCAAGTATGGCAGAAAGAGGGAGAGAGACGGAGCGAGCGGGCAACAGGAAGGCAGGCGGGCGAGGCCCCCCCCCCCAGCTCCCCCCAGCAGTACAGTAATGCCTCGAGTCAAGTAACGGCAGCCCCGCCGTCGCCAATTCCGTGGTACTACTGCACTGGCAGGCCTCGTGTTTGCCGGCCGTGGCCGTGCCGGCCGTGCCAGCCGTGCCAGCCCTGGCTTGGGCCGTTGCCGTTTCTGGCGACCGGGTAGCAGTGCCGCTAGCTTCTAGTGGCAATCGATATGTCTCGATTACGCGGTAACGGAGCCCGCGCGAGTAGTGTGCCCGCAGTGTGTGTCTGTGTGTGCGTGTGCGCGCGCGTTGTACGTGTGGCTTGAAATAGCGTGCAATTGCTGTCGTTTCGTCGTCGGTACAAAAAGTGCTTTCGACCCGCACCGGCGGCACCTCCCAACAACAACAACAACAACAACAACAGCAACAACAGCAAGAAAGTCCAGAGAGGGGAAGCGTTGCCTTTTTATAGAAACGGCTGCTGGTGTATATTTACTTAACACGATAATACTAGTACAGAAACTGCAAGAGTGAAAAATCAGTCCAAGAGTTTCATGCAGCACGGTTTATATTTCGATGACGGCGACGGCGGCCTTCATCGCGGTGCCGCTGTTGGCCCTGGCGGTGCCGTTCGGTGCCGTTCGGTGCCGTTAGGCGTACAAGGCCGCGCACCTCTCAGACTCAGACGGGACGACGGGAGTGCATACGAGTGGCGCTCCAAGCGGCGGAGTTCGGCGCAGTGACAAGCACCACACGCGCGTACACACACACACACACACACACACGCACACATACGCCGAGTGGAGCCGGTACAAGTGGAGCGGCAGGCCCTTGTCGTGTCGTGCGCTGCTGTCGCGGTCGGCGCAGTGGAGCAGCGCCTCCCGATATTAGCATCCAAAGTGTCCGCGACCTGACCTGCCGTCGCGATGCTGGGACTCGACGCGCGCCGCCGTCGTGCTAGCATCCCCCCCTCTCCCCCTCTCTCTCTCTCTCTCTCTCTCTCTGGTCTCGTATCGGGCGTATCGGACCGGGCCGGCGGTCCTCTTCACACCCGCAGCAGGGCGTTGGCATTATATTGGGCCACTATGTGTTCGGATCGGCAAACTTATCGGCTTCTGCGCTTTTTTCTTTTGCCGTCGTATTTTGTTTGTTTTTTTCTTCGCAAGTTATCGTGCGTGTGCGTGCGTGTGTGTGTGTGTGTGTGTGTGTGTCTGGTGTGCCGCTAGGGTGTTGGAGGTGCAGTGATGAGGCTGTCTTGCTGGGCAGTCCCTGGACGGGCAGGCAGGCCTTGGGCGTGGTGGGGCGTGGCAGGGCGTGGTGTGGCGTGGCGGGGCGTGGCGGGGCGTGGCAGGGCGTGGTGTGGCGGGGCGGGGCGGACGCCTCCATAAGCCCACTCGGCGCAATCACCACAAGGATTAGGTCCAGCGCGCGGACGGAGCAAGGGCGGGGCGGGGGCGGAAATCCGTCGCAGAGGGGCGGGGGGGGGGGGACCGCCGGCCGAACCGCCGCCTGACCGAGGTAGGTCTCTAACCGAGGTGCGCCGCCGACTGTTTCGGCCAAACTCGACTTTGGGCGCGAAATGCGATTAGGTTTCAAACGGTCGCCTTCCGTTGGCGGCGCTGCAGGTGCTGCAGTCCAATTGGGCGGCAGCAGGCTGGAGTGGGGCTCGCCGCTGTCTGCCTCGCACTCGCAGAGCGTGCCCCGTGAGTGCGAGAGGGACAGAGCGACGGAAACGGCCCTCGGGGGACTCCCGCAAGGCCGGGCAGGGCACAGTCAGCCAGGGCGGGCCCTCCCGGTTCCTCTTCGGTTTTGAAAACAAGGCGAGCAATGAAAAGGCTGTCTACTGAATGCACGCTATTTATTAACAGTGGGGGGCTAATCGGCGTGGTTTGGTGGCATCGCTCTCTGCGGCTGTCTACTGGAAGAGGCGGATGAACTTCTTGTCCGGGTCGTTGTCCCACAGGCACTTGTTGTGCAGGTACGCGGTCTCGCACAGGTCCGAGGTTGGCGCTGGGCAAGAGATATAGGAGTTAGCGAGTAGAAGCTCAGTTTTGAAGCAAAGATGAGGGGTCCTTACTCATGGCGAAGCAGGGAGCGATGGCCTTGGAGAGGGACTCGGGCATGCGGGGAGCATCGGCTGACGGCTCCATCATGGTGATGGTGCCGTTGGACATCATCTGCACAGAGCAACAAGGGTTTTCGTTTTCATTTGTAACCCTCAAGTATCGCGGCACAGCCTCCAACTGCGGGGCACTACCAACCTTTCCTTTGTCTTGCATGACGCAGCTCATGAAGCACTGCGGGAATAGGAGAAGGAAACATTAGACGACTTTTCGGGAGACTTTTCCATTATTCTGGCGCTATGTGGATTTTCCTCCTGAGTTCCTTTACCTTGAGGTCCTGAGTAGCTTCTCCCGTCTCGGCGAAGGTCTTGAGCGGTTCTTTGTTTGTTACCCCAAATCAGAACATTTAGACATGACAAACAATTTATTCAACTTAATTTGTTCAAGCCTGTGGGTTGGCCACTTACCGGATATTCCGGGGAAGCTGGCCTTGCAGGCCGTGGAGCCTGGGCCTGGGTTCGCCAGCACGGCGACGGCCTGTCCAAACCAAGTGCAATCTTTAGGGTCGAGAACATTCCGACTCCTCGACACGCAAGACAATGAATGTTGTTTCCCCGCATAGCGTTTCAAAAGAGAAAGCTTTTTAAAACTAAACGTTGTCATAAACGTTCGTCCTGCACTCAGAATCCAAACGCTTTAAGCACGTACAGCGTCAGTCGATGCGATCCGTTTGAACCCATTTTCATCGCACCAATCGGTTCAATGCTTTTGCGTCAAGAGGAAACACCTCTATCCACATTTGTACATACCAAAATTCACAAATGAATGAAATTTTCTTAAATTTCTTAAAATTTATCGAAGTTCTTCTAAAAATTTAGCAGTTTTTGCCCGAAATTCGTAGCAATTCAAGTGAAATTAACTTGATGTACTACACACCGAAATTCACAGTCATTTCCCCTTGTTATGCACCGTACGTGAAGTGCAATGCCGTCCCATGCATGAGCATTGAGTATTTTCGGGATGCAAGGCACGAAAGGCGCGATGCGGCCGGGCGGCATTGCACGTGTGGTACGATGTCACAGCATTGCACCATACCAACATGTCCTCAGCGTTTGCGAATCACAGTGTACCAGAGCGACGAGGAGTGATGCGGTGGCGAGGAGCTTCATGGTGGCTTGATGGCTGCTGGCCGCTGAATGTGCCCGGTCCTGAGCGGGCGCGGTTAAATAGGCGACGAAGTCCCTCACCTGCAGACTGATTCCGGGATTCGCCGCTCGGCCTCTCTCGCACTCATGGGGTGCCCCTGTAGGTGCGAGACAGAGGGACGCAAACGGTCATCGGAATGAGTCTGCTGCCGGCCGGCGGGCCGGACAACGCGGCGGCCCGTCAGCGCGTCAAGGGCGTGTCACGTGGCACGTCAACGTTCGCGCCTCGCGCTCCGCGATTCGCGACTTGCGGAAGTGGGCCGTCGCCGTGAGTGGGCGCGCGGCGCCGCGCGGCCGGCGCTTCATTTCGCACCAAAAGCCAGCTTTGTCGGCGACGCGGCGGCGGTCGCGGACCACCGGGCACGAGTCTCCTCAAAAGCGCGCAAAAGTGCTGCTTCCTTTTGAACGCGTCCGTTGTGCGCCGCGTCGCGTGGCGCTGCTTCCGCCTAGCGTCACGCCGTCGCGCGGTCTCCCTCGCACGGGACGCCGCGTGAGTGCGAGAGAGACGGCGAGGATCGCCCTTCCGGGCGCGAGGCGTTGTCGCGGTCGCCTCGTCATCGCGAGCGTCGCGACCCAGTTCGTCGGGCTGTCCGCCCGTGCCGGCCGTGCCGCTGGGAACGCCAGCCGCCACGTCCCCGGGGACTGGGCGGGCCTGGCCTGGGTCCTGACTGCAGCCTTGGCTGTAGTCCTGGCTGAAGTCCTGGCTGGGGTCCTGGCTGAAGTTCTGGCTCGGGTCCTGGCTGAAGTCCTATCTCGAGCCCTGGCTGGGGTCCAGGCTGAAGTCCTGGCGTGGATCCTAGCTGAAGTCCTGGCTGGGGTCCTGGCTGAAGTCGTGGCTATAGTCTTGGCTGGAGCCCTGGCTGCGGTCCTGGCTGAAGTCCTCGGCGGGCCCTGGCTCGAGTCCTGGCTGGAGTCCTGGCTCGCAGGCCAAGGAGAGCAGCGAGTTGACGCAGCGCGCTTGCAGCCGGGAGCATCCTGCAGCATCAGGACGCGAAGGCTCGGCGAAGGCTCGGCGAAGGCCCTCGAGACCGAGAAGTGCCGCGAGCAGTGGGAGTTTTCACGACGTGATCGATGGTGCCCGATCAGCACCTTTGGAGGGTGCAGCGAGTGCTGCAGCGACGGGCGAGGCGAGGCGACGGCCCTTAATGACTGCACGGCCTCCTCCACCGCCAGCGCGGTGCAGCTCGCAGCAGCGCGAAGCAGCAACCCAAAGGAAACGACAGCCTTTTGTTTTTCCCGCTTCGCCCTTCGTTTCGGCTCAACTTTATCCCTTTTTTTCGGCGGCAACTTTAGCCGTATTTTGCCGGCGGGGCTCATACGCCGCCGCGACTTTGCCGCCGCCGTTCCTCCCCCACACTGTAAGGCGTGCGCGCGACGCGGCGACGCGGCGACGCTTCTCGCCAGAGTCGCCGCCTTCTCTTTCTCCGGCGAAGAATCTCGCCGTCATTTTTCCCGGCGCGAGACTGTATTACACGTGCGTGTCCTGCGCGGCCATTTGTCAGTGGCGGCGCACGCGGCACGCACTGCAACGCCCTTTTTTCCCTCTCCCGCGCCACTCGGGGATTTATAGGTTAGTAATCGGAAGAAAGTTGCTCCACTGGGCGCCGGGATATATTTCATTTCAAGCACTTTTCTTCAGGTCTGGTCTGGGTAATCTCGGAATACAAATTTTATGTTGATGCCATGCATGCGGCTCGATTCCGTATTTCAAGTATAACAGGGAGCCGGCGCGCGCACCGGAGTCAGATAAGTAAGTTTCTTTTTAAGAGAAAGAGGAGGGGGAGCCGTCCCAGGCAGCCGTCCATCAACTTTTAGGTCTCGCCTCCTGAGTCTCGCAGATCCCGGCGGCCTTGCCATTCATCGCAGCGGCACGTTAAAGGGAAACAAGGTAGCTTATTTCCGTTCGAAGCGCTGGGATCTGGAAGCCTGGAATCCGGGAATCCCTCCGGCCCGCCCGACCGACCGACCCCGGAGGAGGGGCGCTGGAAAAAATCAGAGCGGTCTGAGGGATTGATAAGGAAAGGAAGCGAGTCGACTCCCTCCGGGGCTGCTTCCGAACAGTGGGCTTCTTCGGTCTTGCCTCTCGCTCGCACTGCCGGGGCTTAGCTCGCAGAGGTGCGAGCGAGAGACGGAGAGGGAGAGGCACTGGGAATTCCCTTGGCCGGCTATCTGGCCATTACAGCCCCGCCGCCTCGAGAGCCAAGCAAAACAGAGGAGGAAGAAAAAACAGCACGTGAGCGGCAACGAGGGCCACGGGGCCCCAGCCCGGCCGGCGTGGACCTCGCGTGGGGCCGTGTGGACCCGCTGGAGTGGACAGGGACAAAACACCGGGCCACGGCAAACATTCTGGGGCGCTGTCGCTGTTTCAACACCGTCAAATTTCCCTATTTGTTTTTTTTTTCTGTCATTTTTTTTCTCGTGAGTTGTCAAGGGTTGAGCGATTTTTATAAAAAAAAAATTCGTACGTATTCCGAGTTAAGGCAAAATAAACCAGAAAGGCTTAGAAAAATTCAATTTACGGCGGGATGCTTGCGGGGATAGTGTAGCCCAGCAGGGCTCGCCCTTCTTAAAACTTTTGCGGTGGCGAGGCTAGACGCGCCGCGCCACGCCGCGCCGAGGAGTACGGTCGCTCTCCTCGGCGAGCGCGCAAGAAACTGGAATTTTATATTACAGTTCCGGACTGTTGAGCAGTCCGACACGACACCACGCCGGCGCGGGACTCGGGACGCCCCCCAAGGGTGCGACGCGACGGTCCCAGCCGTCTCCTCACTCCCACTGCACCGTGGGGCCGGGCCGAGGCTGCGCCGCACTGCTAGAACCACTCGGCACGGCTTCGCCTTGGCGTCGCTGCACACGCACTGCTTGGCCTTCCCGCGGGAGCTCCGTCCCGGTCCCCGGGACCCGCTCCAGGCCGCTACCCCGGCCCAGGGTTCCGGGTTCCCCTCGGGTTCCCCGGGGGGCTTTGCTGGAAGTGAATGCGAAGTGGCGAGGAGATCCAGCGAGACTGATGCGTAATTCCAGGCGCGGCCGCGTGACAGAGATTTAGTGGGCCTGGAGCGGGGCTGGAGCGGGGCTGGAGTCTGCAGCCTGGAGCGGACCGGGGGGACAGATATGGGGGAAGGCCGCACAGGCAGGCAGGCTGGCTGGCAGGCCGGGCGGCAACTCAACTAGTAGTCACACACGCGGGGGAGAAGATGTAGAGTGGAGCCTTGAGAGGCTCCGCGCGCCGTGCCCTGCCACATTGTGCTACATCACGGCCTCCGCCGCCATAGGCCGCCATAGGCCTCGCCGCGCTTACAAATCGCCCCAATTCAAAGCAGAGGCATTCTGCAAAAATGGCGGAAGCGCTGCCAGTCTCTCTGTCTCTCTCCGCGGCCCGGCTCGGCGTACGGCCGCTCGGCGCACCAGCGATGTGTTATTACTTTTCGATTCTGGGCCAGGGTCGAGTGGCGTGCAGGCCCTGCCTTCCCTGCTCGGCGGCTCCATCCCGAAGTGCTGCTCCGCTCGCTTCGGCATGCACGCGGTGCCCCGATAGCGTCCCGGGTTCGAATACCAGCAGTGCGCTTTTTTCCCCTCTCGTTCTCCGCGTTCCGGCCGGAGAGAACACTTTGCGCGGCTTGCCACAGGCTCGGCCACAGGCTCGGCCCGGTCTGAATCGGACGCGCGTGCTAAATAGGTCCGGGGCGGGAGTGGAGCCGCCCTGTCTGCCCAACCCCTTGCTGGCCATTGCTGGCCGTCGTGGGCAGAGCCGAGGCAGAGCCGACAGGGCCTTGGCCAGGATGTCCCATTCCGAGGGTCGCCCTTGTCTCTCTCCGACCTACTGCGGGCACCTATGAGTGCGAAAGAGACAGGGCGACGGAAACGACTCTCGAAATCTGTCTGCAGGGCGGCACGGCCGGCACGGCCGGCACGGCCGGCACGGGGTGGAGGAGACGAGTGGGAACTGCAGACGGCAGTCTGTTTCCATGGCGATGCTGGCCGTGCCTGCGCTGCGCCCCTCAGAGCCCCGCGGCGAGCACGTCGCCCACGTCCTGCTGAGCTCTGCGCTCTGCAGGGCTGTGGCCCGGGCTGCACTTCGCACCCGGCAGAGATGTAGGGCGGCATGGCGCTCGGCTTTACCACTCACTGCATTGCAGTGCACTGGAACACGGGTGGGGCGGGGTGGGCGAGGCGCCGCAAACGGCTTCCTCGGCGACGTCCTTGGGCCCTTTGAAGTGGGACTTGTTCGAATCACGCCGGCGGACAAGGCGAGGCCCACCCCTACCCCCTCCCCCACCCCACCTCTAGAGGCCGCTGCTCTGGAGGCAACTGGAGCGCGTGGCGTGCCGGTTCAAATGCGAAGGGCAATCGCACTAAAAGCCGAAGGCGCGCCAAAGGTACTCAATGCCGCCGCTGGGGCTCTCGGAGCTCTCGGAGCTCTGGGATGCGGGCCGCGTGCCACGCCACGTTCGGACGGGTTGAGGTTTGAAGCACATCGATTCCGGCCCGCTGGCTGGCCATCCCCTGCTGCGGGTCCACACCCACAGCCTCCCTCTCCGCGTGACATTTCGCTCCTGGTCGCGCGGCTGCAGCGGACTGCGGGGACAGCGGGGCCGCCACTGTAAGGTCAGGGGCGGCTCTGCCACGGCGTTGGCGGTGTGGCGGTGCACGCCGACCGTGCCGAGGGCCACTGAGGGGCACTGTGGCACCGTGACCGTGGCGTCGGGCCGCACGCGAGGGGGAGGGGGGAGGGAGAGAGAGAGAGAGAGAGAGAGAGAGAGAGAGAGAGAGAGAGAGAGAGAGTCCGACGCGAAAAAACAGACAGCGAGGGGTGGCTAATGCCAGTGCCGTGGCTCCATCGGCTGGGCCGGGGCATCAGTGCCGTCATCCCCCCTTCCCCTTCCCCTTTTCCGGTGACACTGCCGCGGGCGTGTACACTGTACACGTGGGCACGATGAGCCAATCGATGACAGCTGCGATCCCGGCACCGCCCGGCCTCGGCCCGGCCGCCCAGGACGTCGCTTTTAATGGCGTCTCTTCGTGTTTTTGTTTTTGTTTTTACTTTTGTTTCTGCTTGCCAGGGT